ACAGACAGAGATCACAAGTAGGCCAAGAGGCAGGCAGAGAGAGAGGAGGAAACAGGCTCCCTGCTGAGCAGAGAGCCCAATGTGGGGTTCGATCCCAGGACCCTGAGATCATGATCTGAGCCAAAGGCAGAGGCTTAACCCACTGAGCCACTCAGGCACCCCAAGTTGAAGGAGTTTGTGGGGAAGCAAAGACAGAGAAGTGAGGGAAGGGGTATGTTCAGGGGTCACAGTTCAAATAATGTGGAGCCCAGTGGGTGGGGTGAAGCACGCTACATGAGCGACTCAGAGAAACCTCACGGAGACCCTCACATTGTCCCCTAGGTCTGCTGGTGCACAGTATACAGAAGACAAGGTGGGAGGCAGAGCCAGCAGGAGAGGGGAGACAGGGCTTTAAGTAGGGTTGTAGGGGCACAAACTGGCTTGGGTCTGATGAGATCATCCCAGAGCAAGGCTTGATGTGAAATGGAGGCACTAGAGCCATTCTCAACTGCTGTGCCATTACAGACTGTGATGTCCCTTGGAAACTCATTTTAAAAAAGTATTTCCATATGTTGTTGGGTTTAACTTCCTGATTAAAACAAAACAAAACAAACTTTTATCTCTATGTTAATAAGTGAGCTTGGCCTATGATTTTATTGGCCTTTTATTAGACTGTCCTGGTTCAATTTTAATATGGTAAGACTATCCATAGATGACTTAGATTGCTTTTATTCTCTTTCTAGAATTGAAAATGGATTTGTAATAGAAAATCCTATCTTTTCCTTGAGGGATTGGTTAAATTGCCTAGAAAACCATCTAGGCTTAGATTTTTTTTTTCTTTTCTTTTTGCTCTTCTTTCTTTCTTCCTTCCTTTCTTTCTTACTTTTTTTTTTTTTTTTTTTTTTTTTTTTTTAAACAGGGGATGGTGGGAGGGCCAGAAGGAGAGAGAGAGAGAGAGAGAGAGAATCCCAAGCAGGCTCAAGGCCTAGTGCAGAGCCCAATGCAGGGCTCAATCTCACTACCATAAGATCATGACCTGAGCTTAAATCTAAAGTCAGATGCTTAAACCACTGAGTCACCCAGGTGCCCATAGGCTCACATTCTTTAATTTTGAGGAAGGAGGAAGTTTTCACCTACTCATTCAACTACTTTAATGGTTACTGGATTATTCAGATAGTCTATTTTTTTCTTCATCCAGTTTTATCATTTGTACATTTCTATAAAATTGTCTGGCTGATGGCAAATCTCTTTATTTTCAAAATTATCTGCATAAAGAAGCACAAGAATCTTTTGGGGAGATGGAAATATTCTGTATCTTATTTGTGGAGGTGGTTCATAGATATGTCAAAACTTATGAGGGACACATGGCCGCTCAGTTCGTTAAGCATCAGCCTTCGGCTCAGGTCATGATCTCAAGGTCCTGGGGTTGATCCCCACATCAGGCTCCCTGCTCGGCAGAGAGCCTGTCTCTCCCTCACCCTCTGCCTGCTGCTTTCCCTGCTTGTGCTCTCTCTTGGTCAAGTAAATAAATACAATCTTTAAAAAACCAAAACAAAATAAAAACTTACCAAACTGTGGTGTGGTCTGTAAAATATATTTTTGTTTTCCTGTATTGTAATCATTGTATTGTAAATATACGCAGTTCATAGTAAATAAGTTATACCTCATATGTGGATTCACGTTTGTCTGCAGGAAATTATACGAAGTATTTTTTGTGATTTTAAAAAATTCTCTCTGTATCTTTAGACATGTTTTCTTTTGTCTTAATATTGTTTATTTAGGTAATCTCTCTTCTTTGTGAATCTTGTTGAAGGTTTGTCCATTTCATGTTCTTTTAAATAACCAGCTCTGTGGGAAGAACTCTCAGCATCCATGTTTTCTTGATCTATCTGCCATGGTGCCTGGCACCTCCTCCCCATCCTCTCACCATTTTGTAGGGGTAAATGAGGGCATATAAGAGGTTAGATGCCTGGAGGAAGAGGGTACCTTTGTGGTAGAAGCCAGCGTTGAAGGGATGAGATTCCTTCTTTCAAGGTGTCCAGTGCAGTCGACAGATCAGGCTCAGAAGCTGCGAGGCAGCTTCCTCTGAGCAATGATACATGGCTAAAGTATCATTCGGTATCTTTGAGAACTCTCCTCAGAATATTTAAAGAGGGCTTAGCTGGCAGTGTGGACACTCACTACCCTTTAGGAACTACATTCTGTCACTTTTGTGTTCAGGGCCATAATACTGGCTCTTGGTGCATGACCCCACCTTCACTTGCCCACTGAACAAAATGGGTAGCAGAATCTGAAAATAATCTAGCATCAGTTAACTACTAAATGGTTCATATATTTGACTGTCTTGGAATTTGTGTATTTGTTTTGCCAGCTGAATGTATCTGACTAGTTACTTAATGCAGTTTATATTTTTCTTCTTATTTGTTAGAAAAAAAAAACTAGTCTTTGGATTTGTGGGAGCTAATTATACTTAATTGTTTAATGTCAAAACTCTATTGCTTTTTATTTTTCTTCTAGTCATCAAATGTCTTCTAGAAGAAAATATCATAATATGTGAGACAGACTATTTCAAAATGCAAGCTTATATCTTACTACTAAATATAAGCTGAGGAAATAATATCCCTATTAAAAGTATATTCAGAGTTGCCACTCAGTTGTCTTGAGGTTTATTCAAAATAAGCAGGTGTCATGCAACAGATGTATCAAGAATGTTATTGAGCATTACTCCCTGTCAGTATAAGATAATTGTGTGTTTTTGAAAACTTAAAAGTGTATGTTGTGGGTAGGACTGGGTTACTGAAAAAGTCTTACTATGTAACCTAATGCGAAATGCACTGTGCTTTTACTGAATAGTGCATCAGCAACAAGGTTATTTTAAATTTGAATTCCACCTCCTGGAATGAAAAAGGGGGTTGGGGTTGTGGGTGGCAGAAACTTGAGTAATCTTGTATCTTGCTTCCTTGTGCTATTTTTCTTTTTATGCATTTGAACTATGTTTTGTTTATTTTGTTTCAATCTTGAGGACAAAAGTTGGAAACCCAACAACCTATTGCTTAGTTTGCTGGAGTTGCCATAACAAAGTCCCCAGACTGGGCAGGCTTGAACAACTGATGCTTGTTTTCTCATGCTTCTGGGGGCTGGAAATCCGAGATCAAGATGTCCTCAGGCTTGGAATCTTCTAGACCTCTCCCCTTGGCTTGTAGATGTCTGTCTTCTCATAGTGTATTAACATTCTTCAGATAAATAGGACCAACAGGATGTGTGTGTCTGTGTGTGTGTGTTTATAGAGAGAGATGTATCTATCTATATAGAGAAACAGACAGACAGACTGAGACTGAGATTTACTTTAAGGAACTGGCTTGCACACTTGTGGTGACTTCGGAAATTTAAAATCTGCAGGGTGGGCTGGCAAGCTGGAGATTGAGGGAAGAGTCCAAAAGCAGTCAAATGGAACAATTCCTTTTTGCTTAGAGGTCAGTCTTTGTTCTAAAGCCTGCAGCTGGGGGCATCTCTAAATACAGTCATATTCTGGGGCACCTTCTGGACTGGCTTAGTTGGTTAAGCAGCTGGCTTCAGCTCAGATCATGATCCCAGGGTCTAGATTAAGTCCCATCTTGTTCTCTCTGCTCAACAGGGAGCCTGCTTCTCCCTCTTCTTCTGACACTCCCCCCACTGCTTGTACTCTCTCTCCCTCTGTCAAATAAATAAATAAAATCTTTTTAAAAAATAAAAAAATAAAGACTTCAGGTGATTGGTTAAGGCCCCCCACATTACAAGGGCAATCTGCTTTACTCAAAGTCCACCAATTTAAATGTTAATCTCATCCAAAAAATTTTTTTTTTGCAGAAAACATCCAAAATGATAGTTTGGCTAAATATCTGGGTACAGATATCCTGGCCCAGCCAGGTTGACACATAAAATTAGCCATCAGGCATGGTCTTCCTTCTCTATCTCTCTGTGTCCGAATTTCCTATTCTCTTTAAGGACATCAGTCATATTGGATTAGGGCCTGTCCTAATGACCTCATTTTAACCTAAAACTCTATCTCTAAATACAGTCATGTTCTGGGGTACCTGGGTGGCTCAGTCATTTAGCATCTACCTTCAGCTCAGGGCATGATCCCAGGGTCCTGGGGTCGAGCCCTGCATCAGGGCTCTGCTTGGCAGGAAGCCTGCTTCTTCCTCTCTCAATCTCCCTGCTTGTGTTCCCTCTCTTGCTATGCCTCTCTCTGTCAAATAAATAAATGAAATCTTAAATACATACATACAACAGTCATATTCTGAAGTCTTGGGAGCTAGAACTTCAACACATAAATTTTGAGAGAACACAATTCAGCCTATAAAGACCATTAATTGAAAAGTAAGCATACATAAAAGACAACTCTAAGGGGAAAAGAGCCTTCCCAACACTGAAAATGTGTTCTTTCCTCTGACTTTAGGATAAAGCATGTTTGTGAATCCTCAGATAAGCCAATTAGCTGGAATGGAAAGTAACTTTTTTCTATTCACATTTCTATAATCTAAAAGTCAATTTTGTTTTTCTTTGCCAAGAATATTTCTATTATCACAGTAATTAGAGATACAATTTTTTAAAAATTTCATACTCTGGTTATGTGTGGATTTCTACCTGTTTTCATTTTGTGCTTTAAAATTTCAGATTAGAGTGCAAATGTTTGAGATGTTTTTATCTTGAGTTATGAACTAATTTGAAATTGCTATTAAAAACAGAGCCACATTTCTGCTTTCTCTGGCAATATAAGAAATAAACAATGGGAAAATTACCAATAAAAATGAAGGGAAACATTAACAAGAGAATATAAAATAAGAACAAATCAGAAAACACATTTTCAAGGCTTCTCTGAAATCATAATATAATCTGACATTATCTCTTCTATTTTAGAATCAGTGCCTTAAGTCACATTTTCCAAAGCTGTTTAAATAAAGAGTAAAAGGCTCCTCTATTTCTGATACTGAAGAAATGCTTCTTTTCTCTCTCTCTCTCTTTTTTTTCTTTTTCTGCAGGTAATAAGGAGATTTTCCTTTCCAAAGCAATTCACAAGTCCTTCCTCGAGGTTAATGAAGAAGGCTCAGAAGCTGCTGCAACCTCAGGTCCCAAGTTATCATTTTCTACAATGTTTTCACTTTTATTTTTATTTGTATCTTTAAAACCATCTTGGGTGGGGGTTGGGGGTCATTTTTACAACAAAGCTAAAAAAAACTGACTCTGCTCTTAGAAGTCAAGCTAATGCTGAATCAGCTAGAATTTTCTAAATAGGATATGAAGCGTGCACTTAACTCCAGTGCCCCAAATACAGAGTAACTCCCACCTCTAATGAGAGGCAGGAGGACATTTGTGGCTCTGTAGAATAGATTTCCCTGCTGTGCTGCCTGTTTAAATATTTTAGATATTTTCTCATCACCCATTTAAACATTCTTCTTCTTACCTAATTACTTGCGGACACTAGTTCTTTTTTTTTTTTTTTAAGATTTTATTTATTTATTTGAGATAGAGAAAACGCAAGTAGGGAAGAGGGGCAAAGGGAGAGGGAGAAGCAGACTCCCTCCTGAGCAGGGAGCCCAACGGGGCTAGATACCAGGACCCTGAGATCATGACCTGAGCCGAAGGCAGACACTTAACCAACTGAGTCACCCAGGCCCTCCTGGAAACTAGTTCTTAATTTTGTCAAAAGTCTTGCTTTTTTAAAAGCACACACATAAACAAGACATAATAAATAATTTTAAGTAATTTTAACTGAATAATGCTGGTAAAATAATTTTTAATAAATAATTCTAAAATTTTGACCTAAATCACGTGTTCAAAGCAAAATGTTAAATGTCCTTGATTATTTTGAATGTTTTGATTTCCCCAGTTAAATGAGAATGATTTTTTCCAATGACATTTTTTCCCACTTATTTCTTTGGGTGTGTTTCAATCTCATGTTCCACTGCTATGTTCAAATTTTAGTAGGATTTTTCCTTCCTCTGGCAAAACGGAACCTATCATTTTTTTATGCTTCTGCATAAATTTGTCCACTAAAAGGATATCACCAGTTAAAACAGTGTTTTCAGGAGGAAATAGAAACACAGTAGTCTTGGGCATCAGGAAAGCCTAAAATCTTACATAATTTAATCTTGACCTTTTCCTTATAATGAATCACCCTGCAGCAAGTATAAAATGATTATCCCATAATAAGGATCTCAGGGGAATTCAGTTTCTCAGCCATAGGAAACATCATGCTTCTCTTACTGCTGCTTTTTCCCTTTAATCACTGCCATTCTGGCCACTTACTAGAACTATGTAAAAATCCCCATTTTAGACAAAAGGAAATAATGATCTGGGAATATAAAGAAACTTGGGTTTTTTTTTGTTTGTTTGGGGGTGTTTGTTAATTCTCCCCCTTTCCTTAGCTCAAAGGTCATTTTAGTAAAGCCATATATATTTATCTGAAACTGAGAATAAAAGTTTTGTAAGAAGCACAATAAATTTTTCTAGTATTTTTGGTGGATTGGAGGTAGGAAACTTGTGTGTGTGTGTGTGTGTATGTGTGTGTGTGTGATGTGTTTAAAGATCAAGTAGAAATGTTGTCACCTTCATAATTTTTTCTCTAAGTCTTTAAAATTTTGTTTCCTGTAAATTGTTGCCTTTGCATTAAATATAGATGGTGTTGGAGAAATTACTCATTAGTCTCTGCATATCCACAGACATGTAATTACTTTCTCCCTGCACTGTAGGAATGATTGCAATTAGTAGGATGGCTGTGCTGTATCCTCAAGTTATTGTCGACCATCCATTTTTCTTTCTTATCAGGAACAGGAGAACAGGTAAGTCTGTTATAAGAATGGAACTTTATTTATAGGCCAAAAAGAGATATTTTTTTTTTAAAAAGAGAGAGCATTTTTTTCCACATTACTTATCAGATCATGTCTAATATTCAAATGATTTTTTAAAAAGAATTATTTATATTTTTATTTTTAGAACACTGCTAATTGTCAGCAAGAAGGAAAGTAAATATCCCACTTTTTTGTTCACACCCTGTTTTGTTCACTTCCACCCCAACGCAGGTACGGTCTTGTTCATGGGACGAGTCATGCATCCTGAAACAATGAACACAAGTGGACATGATTTTGAAGAACTTTAAATCATTTCATATGCAAAATAGTAACTAAACGTGTTATGTTTGCAACTGGTGTATTTAAGATTTGTGTTTTACAGTATATCTTATGATAATATTTAAAAATAGTTCCAGATAAAACAATGTATGTAAATTATAAGCCAACTTGTCAAGGAATGTTATCAGTATCATTGAGGTAATAGTCCCATGGTGTCATTGTGTCTGTTGTGCTGGTATTTAAAATAAAAGTACATATTGATCATGTGAACAACTCTGTTTTCATTTCACAAGTTGTACTATAAGGATACTTCTAGGTAAACTTTGGAAATGGTGATTTTTGGGACATCGTAAATCTTTCATAATCGTGCAGAAGCAAAGCAGTGAAGTCAATTAGCAGTATTACACTTACCGTAAGAAAGCAATAACAAGTCAGATGAAGACAAGCAGTCCCCCAAAATAGAATTGTTATTTCTCTGAAGACGGTATATAGTGTGGTATAAAAGAATGTAAACTGAACATCTTCTGTAGGCTCTATAATAAAACTTGATAGAAAAAAATAGGACTATACAAACCCCTAGCTTATGGCTATAGCTTATTTACTATGTCTTTAAAAACCCACTGCACTTCAGCAGCCTGATATAGATTAGAAACCTGGTATATCACCATGTTTTGGTGCTCCAAGTAAAATCCAAATTATAACAAAGTTCCCGAGAGTCCCCAAATAAGCCTTATGAGCAAATTAATAATAAAAATATGCCCTTCCATAGGTCACCAGAAAATTAATAAGAAAAATCATGCTAGTGCAGATACTGTAAACTGGCATGTCAGGGGCTGAATGCTGCCCTTGGAGATGTTCTTGTTTATCCTTGTGGAAGGTTTTTATGTTTTGAACTTGAATGTAATTAGGGTATCACAGTCCTGGTTTCTCCCATTGGTCACCTGATGGCTCTAGGATGCATTTGTGTTTGGGTCTTCTAGAGAATATATTGAGTATTTTGCAGAATATACTCATCTTTTTTCCTAGTGCAAGAAGTAGTTGATTCCAGCGGGGTCACTGCCCACTTCTTAAGGTCTCCAGTGAATGACTTAGTCATCCTTTGGCTGATATAATGATAATCCTTGGGGCCAGGGTATGGGTGGGGGAAGGAGCTGAGGGAGAATGATTTCAGCAGGTTCCATGAATGGAACCAGACCCATGTGGCATATTTTTGATTCTATGATTAATAGTTGCAGAAAAAGTTTGAAACATTTTCAGAACTTAACAGAAACAATTTGCATGTGACTATCCTTTGTTTAGGTATTTTGCTATGATTTGGAGCCATCAACAAGAACTGATATTATTACTACTTTAATTCTGTTCAGGGGAGTGATTGTTTGGGGGAAACCAGACCTGACCCCAGACCTACTGAATTCTAAGCTCTGGGAAAAAGCTTGAAAATCTATGTTAAAAACTTGTTAAAAACAAGTTCCCTTGGTGAGCTTGTTACATGCTAAATCTTAAATGTCACAAAAATAAAGGATACACATGGAATGCTTACTTATATAGTAGTTGTTTCAATATGGTTAATTTATAGAAAATTAGACCAATCAATAACGTATCCTAAAGTATCGGAGCTTCTTAAACTCTGTGTGTAAGGGACTAACCTGGTGATCTTATTCAAAATGCAGATTCTCATTTAGTAGGTCTGGGGTGGGACCTGAAATTCTGCATTTCTCACAAACTCCCAGGTGTTGTGATTGCTATTGGTACACGGACTCAGTATCAGAACTCCCCGTAACATAAGGTTTGCATGTTTGGTACTTTTATATATAGAAACAGAGAAGCTGTATAATACTCACACAACTTGGAGAGATTTGAGTCTACATTAAAAATGCAGTGCCCTTACACAAAAAGAGAAAAATGGTTTTATTCTAAAGTTTCTTTTTTCATGTATATACTATGGAAAAATGCAGACTTCCGCTGCATATTAGAACACTTGAAATATATTCTTTAAAAATATAGAGACATTTATAGGCAATGTGCACAAAAAAATGTATGAATACCCGAGGACACAATACTTAACACTGAATCATTTACAGCTTATATTTTCAGAAGACTTACAGTTTTTTCATAAGGCTGAGGTTATTGTAGAACAGTGCTCTTTTCATTTATAATGTACGCAGATTGGGCTAACTGATGTTGATTCAGTATTGTTATTCAGAGTTTGTGATATTCTTCATTACCTTATCACTACTAGTTAAGCGTTACATATATTGCTATATCTGTATGTCCATCAGTCAGCTAAAGGAGTTACCTGTAAGGAAGAGTAAACATCATTAGATAAGCATATGAATTTTATAACACCCCAAATGCAATTTTTACTAGCTGATCTAAGATTAAACTCTATCATCCATGATGTTTACCTTAAAATATTTCAATACAATTTAGATGTCCCTTAAATTAAAATGGATTCTGCCTTGTTATTAGCATGTTTCTGGAATGCATAAAAATAGATACTTAATAGTACCAGGTTTTTCCTATTGTTTGACTTTGTTTATAATTTCTTTAATATCTTCTGTTCTATTAAAAAGGTAACATCACATAGTTCAGTTCCATTTCCTTTCAAAAGTGTAGTTGATCACACACACATGCACACACACATTATACACAGCTTATGGAAATGTCTTTCTCTTTGAATATATACTTTGGGAAGAAATAAATAACAATTATATGTCTTTTGCTTTTATTTTAAATCTTTCTAGCTTTCCTGAGGTATAATTCACAAAATTGCATATGTTTCAAGTGTACAATGAGATTTCATATACATATACAGTATGAAATGATTACCCAAAATGCATCCATGATATCTTACCTTTCTGTGTGTGTGTGTTGAGAAGATTTATTCTCTTAGCAAATTTCAAGCATACAATAGAGTATTCTTAACTACAGTCACCATGCTTATTTTTGTTTAAGATTCCACATTATGAAAGAGATCATACAATCTTTGTCTGTCTTTATTTGGGTTATTTCACTCAGTCATAGTGTCCGGCAGATTCATCTATGCTGTTGCAAATGGCAGGATTTCCTTCTTTTTTATGGCTGAATAATATTCTTTTGTATATTTGTGTATATATGTATATGTACATATATCACAAAGGAATATATATATTACATTTTCTTTATTCATGCATCAATGGATACTTAGATTGCTTCCATATCTTGGTTATTATGAATAATTTTGCAACAAACATGGGAATACATATTTCTTCAAGATACTAAATTTTGGGGCACCTGGGTGGCTCAGTGGGTTAAGCTGCTGCCTTCGGCTCAGGTCATGATCTCAGGGTCCTGGGATCGAGTCCCGCATCGGGCTCTCTGCTCAGCAGGGAGCCTGCTTCCCTCCCAATCTCTCTGCCTGCCTCTCTGTCTACTTGTGATCTCTCTCTGTCAAATAAATAAATAAAGTCTTAAAAAAAAAGATACTAAATTTTGTTTCCTTTGGAGATATTTTAGATATTAACCATTTACCATATATGTGATTTGCATGTATTTTCTCCCATTTTGTAGGTTGCCTTTTCATTTTGTTGATTTCCTTTGCTGTGTTAAAGCTTTTTAATTTGATGTAGTCCCACAGGTCATTTTTGCTTTTGCTGCCTGTGTTTTTGTAATGTCACAGCCAAAAAATTATCGCCAAGACCAATGTCAAGGAGCTCTTTTCCTGTGCTTTCTTCTGAGTGCAAACATGGAGAATATGATACTTAGCCCAGCCTTTTTGTTTCATGTCTGCCAACAAAGTTATTCTTGAAGGAATGTTGAAGCCTCGACATGCACATAAAAATAGCTTATGGGAAAAAAATCTGTCTCTCATGAAGACAAGGAGAGAGATTTCCACAGAAGAGTCAGTTTGTGTATTTTCTGTTAATTACTTTGGTTCAGTGTATAGGAGATGGTTTAACATTAATAAGCTAAGAGCTAACAGTGCATCCTGTTCATACCAGCTTCTGATTTTGGTGAGACAAAGATCCATGTATTTGTGAAAACAATGTTTAATTAATGCAAATAATACCAGTGCAGATAAAACATGTACTGTCCTTAGTCCAGATACACTCTTTATTATACATTAAGTATAGATGAACTTTTCCTCTATTCGAAAATTGCAGAGTTTTTGTTTAACTGGGGAGAAATAAAGTGGTTATGTGTGACATATGGCATGTTCCAGAAAATGTTTCTTCAGCAGTCATCACAGCTTCCAGCTGATGTAGCAGTTTTTTTCTCTTCCTCAAATAGGAGACACATTAATGTTTCATCTCTCTTTTTCTGAAAGTTTTGTGATAATTCATGGATACATAAGTCTGACATTTGTTCACACAATTGCTCTTTGCTCTGCCTGTTATTCAAAGAAAATTGCTGATGGAGAGATTATCGTTTTCTGTATGATTGAGTGACCCCCCCCCCTTTCTGGTGTTTTCTGCTTAAATATTTATAACCAGATAGCTATGGAAGAAACACAGCCTGTGATAATGGGAGGGAACCAAGTTTAAACACCAGATCTGCCACTTACTAGATATCTGTCTTTGGAACAAGTTGTATAATCTATCCTTTCAAATAGTAACATCTACTTCATAGGGTTGTATTAGGATTAAATGATATACTATGCATGAGGAATATAATTTGACACATATTAGTCACTCATGGAAGGCTAGCTATTAGCATTAACAATCTCATATTGCAGATCTTCTAAGGCACATAATTTCTCACATTTCAACAGATACAAAAATGGAGTGATCGATAGTGTCTCACAATGGTCGGTAAAGGTGGCAGCCATGACATAGATGGCATTGATTGTGCATGGAGTAATCTTGTTGCATGACAATCGTCTAACTGTAATCCCTTGGATTTTCAGTCAGCAAACTATTTGAGAACAAACCATAATGACTATTTGAGGAAACATCGTAAGTCCTGATTATTGTCTAAAAACCTTTCATTGATTTTTTTCTTGTAAGATAAAGTGCCAGTTTCGAAATTTGTAGAATAGTTGTCAATAGCTTAGAAGAAAGTTCTAGAGACAGAAACTGCAGGCTGGGCATGACTGTGTCACCAATGCTTTTAGGGTCATGGAGGACAACAGTATGGGCAAAGCAGACATCAAGCACTGAGCAGGAAGTGACTTGGATTTGGACTCTGTGTTGTAGAAACGTATTTTGCTTTGCTTTGCATTGATTTCACATATTTTCTTTTAAAAATGTACATAACTATGACACACAATAAAATTTATTTAAATAAGTCTAAAAGACATATTTAAGTTTTGAATGAGTTTAAAATAAACACTTACTCTAGTCAACTTTGCCACAGTTTAACTGAGTGATTTTTTTTCTTCCTTAGTAGTACATAAAACAAAGGAGTGTCTTACAATTTATGTCTTGAATTGGATAAAATATTCACATCGGCACTTGTGAAGGAATCACATTTATTAAAGTACATAGCAGGTGGAAATGGTGTCACCTATAATTTCCAAAAGAGTGCCTTCATCGGCTATTAGAAGAGTTATGTAGAAGTTGAAATTCAAAGAGGGGAGGGAGTAAGTGAGGGAGGAAAGCAAGAAGTAGAAAAGCAAATATTCACAAGCTTCCTGCAAATGGTAATTTGCTCTCCACAAAATGACTCTGCAGTACCTAGAGTGAACTAAACTTGGTCATTAAAAAAATATCTGAAAGAAGATTGTTTCTGGTCTTTGTCACATAGAGGTGAACATTAATAACCAAAACGTGTCTGTGTGATGAGGGCAGGGAAAGGGCTGGGAATGTTGAATCCAGTTTGTCTTTTAAAAAAATTACATCTCTTAATGTGGCTTAATAACATTCTCACTTTACATACTGTTCATGCTCATTAGAGGCAGTCCATGAAGAGGCTGATAACGATCAGGTTTAAATTGCCGAGGTTTCATTTTGCCCTGCAAAATTTTTTTCTCGTTCAATAAGAATCTTTTCTCCAATAAGGTTGTTTTAATTAGCTGGTCTAACAATTTGCAGAAGCTATGATCACACAATACTTCCTTAGCAGCAGACTTTAAATTTTTAATTTCATTGTCTTTACATGGATTACACTGAAGCCAATTTCTAGAGTATTTCCTATGTCATAATGATACCAGTGGAGGAAACTTTAAAATAAATGTTAGATCTTGATCTTTGAAATACGCTATCTTTCCAATTGAAATTATTCAAAAATATCTACTTGAATCAAATGAAGTGAAATGTATTTTGTTCATTTGGCTTCTACTTCCAGTAGCAATTTCTGAATTTTTTTCACCAGTATAAATTACATTCATAGTGCCAAAATTCTTTAACAAGAACTAAAGCATTAGAGATTTACCTGGGAAAGTTTTAAAAGGGAAAATGATATGCCACAAGATGTCACTGTAATCCTAATAAATGGATAAGGTAATAATCGCTTTTATTTCAATGTTTAAAGAGGTTAGGTGAAAAACCCTCACAATAGATACAACACAGTTGCTAACATTACAGACCATCTTTTCAGATCTACACAAAACTGCATCCTGGCATGAACCCCCGGCATTAAATGGCAACTCTTACAGAGCCGAATAAGAAGCTTCTCTTTTGGAAAAAAAAAAAAAAAAAAAAAAAAAAATCTTCATTTCATGACACAATTCCATCTAGCCTATTTCTGATTCAGATTTGAAGTGGAATACTACTTTGCATTCTTTGGAAATAAAAACTCCAGGTTAAAGATCCAGTAGAAGCTCATTAGACCCATTCTCTGTTGTCTTTGATGTCTATGAAAGTTTCCATTGCCAGCCAAAATGGACATAAAATTGTGAGAAAAACAGTTTGGGCCATTAAAAAAAAAAAAAAAAAAAAAAGGAAAAGAAAAATCTTGCTTGGTAATGTACTTGAGACACAAATAGTAAATGAACTGCCCATTCTTGTTAATTTCCCCATTGAAAGTCTTTTTCTGATTACTTTCCTATAGTCAAAGCACACAGATGAAAGGGGAATCTATAAATCTACTTCAACTATAGTGACAAAATCATGGGGCAAAGTGTTTAGGCGGTTCTTTCAAGATCACTTTTACTATTACTTACCATTACCACTCTCTATCATTACCTGGTAGAGAGAATAACATATCATTTATGAAAGGAATCTCTACTGTGTCTCTGAATGTGTAAAATAATGTCATAATCAGAGTCCTTAGTTGATAATTACAAGAGACTGATAGCATGGCATACATGGATTTGAAGGCAACTTTTTAAAAATTGCCCCTTACTTAAAAAAAAGAAAAAATGTCTACATGAAAAC